TTTTGGTCAAGACCATCCAGTTCACCTGACAGGCTTCCATGATACTGAGCGGCCAAGTTCAGTGCTTGCAGTGTGCTAACTTTGCCTTTTCCCTTCATTATAGAGAATGCATTGATGTTACAGAACTGCACTTTCAGTGAACATGCAAGTTCTGTTTTATTTTTAGTTATATCACGTGGGCAACAACATTCATCCCTGCTGCAGCATGATCACCATCACCCAGTTCCCCTGGCTGAAACACTGAGTCACCGTAGCTTCATTCTTCCCCCTCTGGCTACACCTGACAATTCACCACATTCTGTCGGGCATATTCATCTCACATCCTTCCTATCAGGTCCTTCCTGTCCATTTGCATACTTGTTTTAGACACTCTGCTTTTCTCACCATGGTCACTGCCCTGGTCACCTCCTTTCCTACCAATGCTTTCTGTTATCACAGTGACCTTTCCATGACACATCTGTTCAAGGGTGTCCAGTCAGGAAGCAATTAACCCACCCCAGAGAACATTCTCATGGAAATCTTATTGCTTGAGAGAGGGTGGGACATTTGTCATAGGTAAGTAACCCAGAAACCTTCTGGGGGCAAAGTTAGCACACTCCAAGCACTGATCTTGGCCGCTCAGTATCATGGAAGCCTATCAGGTGAACTGGATGGTCTTGACCAGTCCCAGTGACAAAGAGAGACAACCTAAACCCCTTTGAGTCTGTCCCCTTGGCCAAGAAGTTTGCACAGCAAAATCCCTTTGGTAATGTGGAGCTCTCTAAACTCAAGTCCTCCCTCCAAAGAAGTTATTTCAAAATATGCCCACAAGTCATGATAAATCCGTTTCTCATCCATTGTTGCCATTTAAGGCTCATACTTACTGAAAATGCTGTTCTTGTGCTAGATGATAACTTTCCTCAGTCATGCTCATTAACATCTTGAGCAGTTAGTATTCTTTGCCGGCATAACACAAGATACATGCCTCTTTTTCTCTGATGGAAGCCTCCTGATAATACCAATCAAAACATGCAGTGTAGCTATGAACTACACAGTAAGGGGTGCTGTGAATAGACTCAGCCATCTTGCCAGTCCATTTGACCAAAAAAAATAGACAGTGACCTATAGAATGATATGAAATGTTACAGGATTAAGAACCTTTACGGAAAAATAAAAGAAAATTTTAAAGGAGGGAGGTGGCAAGTAGATTGATAATACTTCCTAAGTGTAACAACTTCCCTCAAATAATAAAGCGTAGCGTTTGTAGAAAAGCGCTTTCCTGTACAACTGTACAGCTTTCTGTGGTGAGTTAAAATCCTGCTTGGCAGATATGAAAATCTAACTTCAGAGAAATTAATTGGTATTCCCCAAATTTCACAATTAAATAAGTGGCAGAGTCTTTCTTTTCTTTTCTTTTCTTTTTTTTTTAAGATTTATATATTTATATATAGGCCAGAGGTGTGGAGGTAATGAGATGATTCATCAAAGACAGAGTGGGGAACAGAACAGGCAGATGTACTGAAATACACCTCTGAGTATAGCAGTGGAGACAAGAGAGGTCTCCACAGGGCTGGGTTAGTTCCTTGGCCATCCAGGATTGAACTCAAACTCGTGCTGCAGTGGCTGGCTCCAGCTTGATAAAGGGAGTCCCCACGTGGTAGAATCTTAATTTAAATTTTCTAGTTTGCCATATTCTATTATGTAGGTGATTATAGATGACATTGGAAGTAGAGTAAAATTTGATTTATGTATCATTTTTCTATAAGCTGTAAGTAATTTAGGGAGCATAAAATGGATACCCTTTCCCATAAAGAGATTACTTTTCAGATTGCATTTCAATATCATAATTAAAAGGTTTTATTTATCTGAAAGAAGGTAAGGCCACTCTCACTGCTACACTTAACAGCAAGCAAGTTTTGTGCTGCCTCTTTTATATTATTGATGATGCTTAAAGGCTAAGATCATTGCTAGGAATTTTCTCTGCAAATGCATCATCTATCACATGTCACTCTCTCCTTTGCCTTCAGAATAAAGATATAAATTCAGTAATGAACAAAACTCTTGGCCCTTTGTCTCCCTCATACACTCTCCAGTAACACAGAAGGCTGAAAAAATAATTCATTGCAGACACATCTTTATTTCTGCTATGGAGGAAGTAGTCTGCATTGCTCAGAACTGAAATTCACTGACAACCTAACAACTCATTTTAATCAACTCTTGATGAAGTATTAGAGTTTACCTTTTTTTTTCCTGAGTAGTTTCGATGGTCAAAAAACAAAACCACAAGCTCTAAGCCAGCATAAGTCATTTAGAATCATTAACATGCTCTATGGTTTACAAAACCGTGTTGTATAATTTAAGCATGTTTCCTTTAAACATAAGACAGAGAAGTGTCAGCCCCATTTCACAGATGTGAGAGCTGAGGTCTACTGCTTTGGCCAGGACTGCACAGCTACAGGACCTGAGCCTAAGACTTCTCACCCAATCTCTGCACAAGTGTACAGATAATCAGCTGCCTCCACACTACCACATACCCCCTGTAACTTGTATGAGGTAAAAATAATAAAGAAACACAAAAGGGAGCTATACCTATTTTGTTCCTTCTGATAGCATTTTATGTTTTCATGTATTATGTAGTGATGTTGGCTTAAATATTGCATTTTCCAAGCTTATGAATAGAAAATATCCACCTGCCCTAAACGACCAGATTGATATAATATGAGCTCTTTGTTTACTCACTGAATAGGCACAACTTATGCCCTGCCAGCTGCTTTGTCCACAGTCTTAACCTTGTTCTGTAAAAACCACCTGCATGTGTGGCTGGCTAATGAATGCCACAGTCGGGTTAGCCTTGCGATCTTCTGTTAAGATCAGATCAGTTAATGCCATTGAGTGTGAACAAGATACCACTCTCTGAAGTAGGTTTGGACCACTAAGGCCAGGTGAATGTGGACTTCCAAATATTTCATTTAAAAAGAATCTTATGCATGGGAAGTTTTTGTATGAAAAAATTGTTTAGGCAGAGATACTTTAACATCACACTCAAGATACATGATCATTAAATCTGGGGGTATTGGTAGTTTGGAGTATTATGATTAAAGAATTGCCCTGTCTTACTCATAACTCTTAACATTACAGTTCAGAGAAGAGATTACATTCTTTTTATGGGGGGTGGAAGGTGATTCATAAGAGACATCTGTCCAGAAAAATGAACTTATTACTACTGAGAACTGAAGCCAGTCCCCTTCAAGATAGAGCCAAAACTTTAGTGGGAACCTAAATTACAGGGGAGACAAGCCTCTAACTGGGTGCTGACGGCGTCTTTTCTCTAAGTACACCCCAAAGTGGACACTGAACTTGAAGAGGCATCGTTTTCAAGATTCTTGATGTATTCGCAACTGGCAATCACCAGATGCATGTGGACTAAAATGCAGAAGCTCACAGTATTTTAATAAATTCTTCATTCTTTAATCAGCGTCATCGTTAAGGAGAGTTTACATATGTGTTTTCCTTCTAGTCAAACAAAAACAATCTGCTCTGCATTCCCTGGTGAAATTATACTTTATTTGAACAGAGACTGAACATGTTGCTGCTGGAGAAATGGAGAAAGACAGTGCTGAGTTTGCCAAACATTTCCAGTTTCTTTTGTTGACAGAACCTTGAGATATTTGGAAGCTGTGTTTCTGCTGCCTACAATGATAGTTTTCTACTAGATATTTAATTGTGAGTGAGTTAGGACTCTGAACTCTTTAAAATTTGTTCCAAGAAAACTTATCTCCATGAGGATCAAAACTTGGCCCCGGGCCTTGAAGACACCCCTTCTTCCCCTTCAGTCAGGAAGAACAGCACGTGACCTGAAGTGAGGCAACCACTTTTCACAGAGATTAGCCTCCTACCTCAGAGAAGTCTATCTCTAAATTGTTTAAACTTGGTTGGCAAGAGATTATTTTGTGATCCTGGTGTGTTTCCTGCATCTGTTTAGTCTTAAAAGCTTCCTAAAACATTTTTCAAAATCCACTTGTGATTTTCTAATCCTTCCTAATACATGGACTGCTTAAAATGCAGCACTTTTTTTTTTTCTTTAATCCAAGCTTTGAAAATGCAAGGAAATGTGTGCACTTGAGCACAGATTTGGGAGAAATGAGGACTGGTGGCACCTTACCGAAAAGTTTAATCTGCGTATTCTGTGACTTCAATAAAAAAGCTAAGGCTTTGTCTTATAGTCCCTGTTTATGTTGGAGCGGGGAAAAGAAATGTATTGCACTCCCTCTGCTGGTTCTGAAACTGCAATAACTTACTCATCAGACTTATTTTTAGTTGGATTTCCCCATTTAAAAAAAATCTGTGTGGAAAAGGAAGCAATAACTGGGAAAGCTGTTAATTTTATTGTTCATTTAAAATGTCAAGAAAAACAACATCAACCTGATGCAATTGGTAGGACTAGCAAGAAAGCCAGAGATTTCCAGGTTTTCAGCACTGTGCTAAGAAAAAAAGAAGTGGCCTCCTCGCTGCTCCCAAAGCCTATCTCCAGCAATCTTTCAAAAACGACTCAGTCTCTTTCAGATACTGAAACTGGCTTTGTCCAGAGCTTAATGAACAAACTAATTCATTAGTATGTTCAGTGTGTTCAAAGTCAGGGAAAACTAAATGTATTTGGCTTGGAGTGACTAGGAGAAGAGAGGCTATCTCATTCCTGGCATCAAAGGAAAAAGCTTAAAGGTCATCACTCAGAAATGTACCCCTTAAGGGAGGCCATCTTCACACATGTTACCCACAGCCTGAAGAGAATCACAGCTCATGGAATCTGTCAGCCACAGGCTGCAAGAAGAAAAGGTTCTCATGACCGAGAAGCAGCACCTAGAAGGAAAGCGAAATGTTCTGAATATTGGGGATCCCAAGGACCCCAAGCCCTATTTCATTCTTCTGCATCAGCTCATTGAGGCTTTTCTTGCAAGTCTCATCTTCTGCCTGGCTTTGTTTGTTCTTTTCCATTTTCCATTCTGGTTTGCTTTCTTCCTCAGGCGTCTGGATGCCAACCACATCAGCCTTGTACCTCATGACTGTTTCAGTGGTCTGCATTCCCTGCGGCACCTGTGGCTGGATGACAATGCTTTAACAGAAATCCCTGTCCAGGCCTTCAGAAGTTTATCAGCATTGCAGGCTATGACCTTGGCCCTGAACAAAATCCACCACATACCAGACTATGCCTTTGGAAACCTCTCCAGCCTGGTGGTTCTGTAAGTTTTATTGATTTTTTTTCCTCTCTCTCTTTTAACAGTTTCTAACCTCACTGTAAGACCTTGGCCTTAAAGGGCTGGCCCTTCAAACCTTGAATAGGAACATTTTAGGGAGGAAATCTCCCTGAACCACCCCCCCACCCCGCCAATGACTCATAAATGTTCTAATTGTATAAGAGAATTAAACAACATTTATCAAGCACCTGCTGAGTGCCAAGCATTGCTGGGTATTCAAAGATAATAAAATATGTCCTCTGCCTTAGGGAAACTCATTGTGTGCTGTGGAGGTGATCACCCAAATGTACAATGAGTACAGTGACCCAAGTTAATAAAAATACCATATTTCTAGTCATTTATAATTCAGGTAAAGTTGAAATATGCCCTTCTTATTCTCTAACAAGTACATCTTGAATCCCTGCCAAGGTAAGAGAAGTCAATATGAACACTTGATGGGAGCTAAGTATTTATATGACTTTTCCCCCCAGTAAGTCTAGATTTCATTATATTAGCAAGTCAAATGATTCTCAAATATGTACCCCACACATGTCATAGTCATCATAGGAAAATAACAGTGCTCTAAAGGCTGTAATATCTATGTGGGGAGAGACTTTGAGAAAGACCTCTTTATTGTTTCTCCCTTTCACCCACCAACCCATCACTTCATTTGGCGATTCCACACAATATCTTTAGATGGCAGACTGTATGTATCTGTCTCTTGCACTATAATATGTACTGTACATATGATATATATATATATATATACGTACACTGTACACTACACATATATATATGCAGGTAATATATATTCCTCTAGGAGTATACTCTACACACATGTGTGTACATAGTATACTGTGTGTGTGTGTGTGTGTGTATACACAGTACACACAGTAATATATACTCTTCTGGGGCTGGTCGGTCTTATCCATCTTTTTAGGTTCCCCCCAATCTCTTTTCCCCATGTGTTGCTTGTAGAAGATGCTCGATAAATGTTGCATAGAACTCACATGAAATTAATAAAAACCTTGGTCTGGAAGGGAAAGATATTTTTGTGCTATTCACAAATTTGTTGCACATACAAAGATGCTGCTGCAGACCCACCAGAGGTTGGGTAGTTGCTTTACTTCTCTCCTCCACTAGAGGGGATGGAGTTCCAGAGCTCGGGCTCTTGTTTTTCACCCTTGTCCTCATGCCCATTTTCCAAAACTCCCTTTGGGACTTGCCCCAGTTTTCAGTTCTGCACTCAGCCGTCCTCCGTGGCCCTGACCTCCCTAACTTATCTCTGAGCCAAAGATGATCATTATACACACTAATGCTGTGTTGAGATAGCTGATTTCCTGGGTAGCTGAAAAATCTGATCACCACTCTGGCTGAAATGTAATTTCCTGTTAACCGGTGTGTCCATCCTGGGGGGAGCAGGGGATGGGGGATGGGCAGTCATTGTGAACCATCTTTCATAGAAAATGTACTTAGCATGACGTGGACCGTCCCTCCATCTTCCATTGGTCAATCATGGTCAGTAGCTCTCTTGAACATCCTGCATCCCAAAGCCACACTGAACAACCTGAATTTACTTTTATCAGTATTGTACTCTCTGACATCACCTCCCAACTGGTAAAACTCTGAGCACTTTTTAAAGTCTATGGTATAAAACCACCTGTGAACAGGCAGCCTTAAAAAAAAAGTTAAGCAAGGAATTTCTTATACACAATTAGCAGGTTCTTTAGTATAAGTTTCTTTGGACATAAGCCATCAAAAGGTCTTGCCTAAGTTTCTATGTGTGGGTGCCTTCATCCCGCGTCCGTTCTGTTCTTCTGCAGGCATCTCCATAACAATAGAATCCACTCCCTGGGAAAGAAAAGCTTTGATGGGCTCCACAGCCTGGAGACTTTGTAAGTTGACCTTTTATTTGTTTCCCTTTTTCAGTGTTTTCATGAGTATTCTGAAAGAATCAAAATAGCCTTAAGTCAGACTTGCTGTTTGGTTTGGTTAATTGTCTGCCCTTAAAACGAGTATTTACAATTGCTTTATTTTACAGACATACATACACACACACACATATACATACAGCTGAACAATAAAAATGAGATTTTGTTTTAATCTAACAAGTGATAAATTAGTATAATTATAAGCTAAATGAGATGTTCGCTACTGAGCAGTGACTGTTTGCTTAAGAATGTGTACTTGTCAAAGATCAATCCTATATTGTCCCTCAGGGTCACTGATATACGCCTAGTCCTCCCCACTAACTGAGAGGATACAGAGTAGGCAAATACCCAAGGATCTAATCTGAGATGAACAGGCGTCACATTAGCAAACAGCAAAGGTTCATGAAAGCAATTCAAACAACTAAGACATATAATAGCTACCATGTACTAAATATATCTATTGTCAAATACTGCACTGAGCATTTGGTACATGTGGTTTCAATTTACCTTTACAAACTGCGTGAGAGTAGCTCTTCCATTTTAGGCTCTGATGAGGTTATTTTACAAAGCTGATCTATCTATTCAGTAGCATAACTGGAATTTGCTTGGTTTCTGTAATTTGACTTTAAAATCCATGCTTACCTACTGTATACCACTTCCAAAGAAGGAGTCAAGAGTTCAGCTCTGAGTTGGTACCTAGAACAAATGTAAAGTCCAGTCAGCTGACCATTGCCTAGAGCCTCTCTCAGAGTCGCTGTAAGAGTATTCTCAGGGGCCACACCTGGGTTCAGCCTTTCCCCAGGGGAGGAGCTGCATATCATTGTCCTGGTAAGTGACATGCCTGTTCTGCTCCCCACTCTGACTCTGGTGAATCCTCTCCCGCCCCTGCAACTCTGGCCTGTACCCCAGTTCTGTATCCATAAATAAATAAATAAATCCTTTTTTTAAAAGAAAAAAAAAAGAAGTATAATGATATTACGGCACCAGGCAGTAAGTCATTGTCCCATGTGTGCTGGGAGACGTGGCTCCAAGTGACCCCATCATCACTCCCTTGTTTTTGATACTCAAGTTCAACAAGCCAAAGTACCAGTTGGCTCTACCCAGACTGCAGAAGAGATAACCACTTCTCCTATGGCTCTGGCATCCATTATTCCTGTGCACACAAAACTTAGCAACTTAGCCTCCAACTAGGTCTGGGTTCAGGTCTTGGTGGACCACCCATGGGTGGTCTTCTTGAGCTTGAGGAGCCTGACAGCTCTCCTTTAAGGTTTCCTTTAAGTCACCGTGCATTTTCCTCTTAGGAGAACAGAATCATCCTCATGAGGCGATGCCACAGATGAACTTGTCTGGGCAGGACTGTAGTTCCCGTCAGCTGCTGGGGAAAATTAAAACTTTTCCTTTATCTACACAGCACTGGTCTGGGGATCTTAGCAATGGAAAGCACCTTCCAGTCCTTTTCAACACAACAGGAACAAAAAACAAGATGGGTTTTGATAAGTATTTCCATAAATAGTCTTTCTTTCCCCACCACCTGTTTGGGGTAAGGACACAGGACTGCACATAAATACCACAGAGTCAAACATTTCAGGACAAATTCATGTGAGTCTCTTTCCCTCCCCCCACACCTCCCTCACCTTGCCCAGGGCTACAGAGGATCAGTAAATTGGTTATTCCCAACCTCTTCCTTTCCCTCACTAGAAATCCAAGAAATTTATAAGGCCCAATCCTCATTTAATCAAAACAGAGCATCTGGAGAGATTTACAAACAGGAAGAAAATTTATGTCCACAAAAGACACGCGTTTCCTGCCTGCAGTATAGCTTAAGGATGGTTTGTGCCAGACAAGTAGGAATCTTGATTCATGTTTAACTCAGTCAAATTATCTCTCTCTTAAAATTAAATAGCAATTCTCTCCACAGAGGAAGATCTAACCACATCTGATTGCCTGACCAAAAGGTTTCTCTGTGTCATCTGGGAAATCTGCCATTCCCAGAGACCAGCAGGCAATTACTTTTTCATACAAAGATGTAAATAAAAGGTGGAGTAGGTCTATAAAGCGCACTTGTGAGGAATGGAATGAAAAGCCATTTATGTCAGAACGGATAGAGAAATTAATGGCTTGAGGTCATTTGGCCGTTCCATCTCTGTGCATGAAGGCTAACACAGAGCTTTGCTTACAGACCAAGGAAAACATACTGCAGATCTGAATCATTATTTGTGACCCTGAGCAAATTCTAGACCTAATGCCCTTCCTGAAAGCCCCTGCATCACATAAACCTCTCTGAAGCAGGTTGTCGTCCAGGACCTCAGGCTGGGAGTGACTGGGGTGTTGTACAGGCCGCAGGGACAAAGCTTCTCTTAATGATGCTGAAAAACAAGGAGAATGTCAGCTGCTAAAGAGGATACAAGGAAAAGGGTGGGATTCAGAAGCCCTTGGAAGTCCACATGCGAGCTGGCAACTTGATGGGACAAGTTCAGGTGAAGAATTATCTCAGCAAGCCCTCACCTCCTGGTTGAGCCTTCCTATTTGGGCATTAATACTGCTGCATACCCTTCCCTTTTCTAAATGCCCAGATAAGGCTCCTCCCTGGTGGTGCAATGGGTTAAAGTGCAGCACTATGAAGCTATCTGTAGCCACTGCAGTATGAGTTCGATCCCTGGTAGGGAGGTGACCCACATGGCGCAGCAGACCTCTCCTCTCCTGCTGCTTGCCTCAGCAGTGTATTTCACTCAATCTGCCTGTTCTACTCCCCACTCTGTCTCTGGTGAATGCTCTTACCCTCCACACCTCTGGCCTGTACCCCAGTTCTTATATGCATAAATAAATAAATCTTAAAAATAAATAAATAAGTAAATGCCCGGAAGATATTGAGCCTGAAATTTCTCGTGTGTGGTCTCAAGACCCTTTTTAATGCAAATGCTTGTGGATGATGATGGTTAGGAAACTAAGAAAATTTACTTCCATTAAAAAAAAAGAATGAGAGGACCCTCCCTGGTGGCGCAGCGGGTTAAAGTACTGCACTAAGAAGCTTAAGCTACTTCCGCATGAGTTCGATCCCCGCCTGCCCCAAGGAGATCCACATGGCGCGGCAGACCTCTCCTGACCCGCCCACTGCTCCCCTCAGCAGTGTACTTCGTTGATCTGCCTGTTCTGCTCCCCACTCTGTCTCTGGTGAATCCTCTCACCCTCCACATCTCTGGCCTGTACCCCAGTTCTGTATGAATAAATAAATCTTTAAAAAAAAAAAAAAAAGAATGAGAATTTCCATCAGTGTTACTGGTCCATTGGAACAGGATGTTAACTTTCCTTGTAGCAAATAAGAATTTTTACTTAAAACTGAAATATTCCTTACTTTTTTTCCAGAGATTTAAATTACAATAACCTTGATGAGTTCCCTGCGGCAATCAGGACACTCTCTAACCTTAAAGAACTGTAAGTATTTAGGATAAATTTAATGACAGTCTCTGTTCTTCATGACTTTATTTTAAAATATGTATGGGGGCCTCCCTGGTGGTAAAAGAGTTAAAGTCTCAGATATCAAACTATCACCAGCCACTGCAGCATAAGCTCTATCCCTGCCAGGGAGGTGACCGCATGGCACAGCAGAACTCTCCTGTCTCGCCTGCTGCTCCCCTCAGCAGTGGATTTTAGTGGATCCACCTGTTCTGCTCCCCACTCTTTCTATGGAGTATCCTCTCACACACACACACACACCCACACACACAACTCTAGCCTATATCCTAGTTCTTGTTTGCATAAAACATGTTTGAAAAATAAAAATATAAAATAAAATGTGAGGTTATTACTATAATATGACTTACAGGAAAAATTTAAAAGTTCACAATAGATATTTATTCTAAAGGTCATTATAGTTAATGGTTAAGTACACTAGAAGTGTATTTTAATGAATTCTGTCACCAGCAAAAATCAGCTTATAATGGATTTCTGTAATGTTTTCTTTAAATTTTTTGAACTTTAAAGGAGCAGTAAAACTACAATCTATCTTTGCAAACATATTAATTTTCAATGGCTAAATATAAAAATGTTCTCATGTAATTATTTTTCATTTGGATTAATAGTTCAATATTTTTGACTATCCAAGTTTTTTTCCTAGGGTAAATGTAAAATCATTTGCACAGTATCATTTTTCCCTCCATATGTCCTCTCACTCTTTCTCCTGTGTATCTGGACATTCGAATACTTCTATTTTCTGTGTGTGTAGCTGCTGCTACCCATGGCGTAGAGAAATAATATGCCTGCAGTGTAGACAGTCCCTCGAGGCATTCTATAATGCCCTGTAATTTTTTCTTAAGCACATGAATATAATTAGGAAGAATTACACTTTTTAAAATTTTTTTAAAGATTTTATTGATTTATGCATACAGAACTGGGGTAACAGGCCAGAGGTGCAGGGGTGGTGAGAGGATTCACCAGAGATAGAGTGGGGAGCAGAATAGGCAGATTGACAAAGTACACTGCTGAGGGGAGCAGCGGGCGGGTCAGAAGAGGTCTGACGCGCCATGTGGTCGCCTCCGGGGCTGGGGTCGAGCAGCCACTGCAGTGACTTCAGCTAGCCCAACCCATTGTACCACCAGGGAGAGCCCAAATCACACTTTTAATTCTAATCCTGGGAATTAATCTTCACCAATTTACATGCCCACCACAGAAGGTAAGAATACCTGTTCCCTAATCCTCACCAATGCTCAAGTACCTGTTCAGGAAGCAAAACTCATTTAAATTCACCTATATATTTTTCAATATAAATTTACTTACATTCATTCTATTCATATATATTCAATTTATACACATATTTCTCTAAGCCATACTCATCTTTTCCTGAGCTATATTCCCCGTCATTTGTATACTATATAGATTTATAACAAAACTGTAATGGAATTCAGTTGTTTGCTAAGAATTTCTAAGTGCAAGCTTTCCTAGATTGTCTAAGTCTTCTAGAACTGAATGGGTACAATGTGCTTAACAAAGACATGATTTTACTACAGTAAAACTAACGTCCAGCTAATACATTCCACCTATAGTTTTGCATATGCTATAATTTCCTGAACTTTTTCTTTGTACTCCAAAATATGAATAACTTATGTAAAGAATGTTAGAAAGGAAAATAAAAACCATGCTTTATTTTCCTGGCAGAGGGAAATAAGACACACGACTCCAGGGCCGAAGAGCAGGGCCAGTTTATAAGAAAAGGACTTTAGACAGTGGGTTCTGCCCCAAGACCCCACCTGTGACTTTGCTCACTGTTGTGTGTGGACAGGTACCCTTCACCTCAAGCAACTGCAGGCCCCCAGAGGACCCAATGACCCTGATTTACCCCTCTCCCTTTCCTACAATGTTAGCACCAACAGATGAGTCAGTTCATTATCACAGACCATTGAGCTGGGGCAGCTTCCATCAGCTCAGGAAATTTTGTCCTCATAAGGAGCTTCCTTAACTCTGCTTCACTGCAGCTTCAGTCAATTTTCTTTTCTTAGCTTCAAATGGGGTCAGGAGGAATTATTATAATTATCTCCCCAAAGGTGTCCTTGCTGTCTCAAGTTATTAGGTGATGGTGCTGGGTATTAAAAGAGGAATTTTCTGCTTATAACATTGGGTTGTAAGTTTCCATAAAACACCACAATTATTTTCAGATCCTGTGTTCCTTTCGAGACAGCAGCTTGTGATTTTTTTTCTCCTAGAATAAGTGAGGCCATGTTAGTTCTAAGATGCATAGAGAAATTTAACCTTGTCTTTAGTTTCTAAAGGTGCTGATGATTGCCTGTGGGGGTTGGAGAGAAAGCTGCTAGCTAATTTTACTGCATACATTAGTTTCTATATGCTATGTTTTCTCTCTTTCTAGAGGATTTCACAGCAACAATATCAAGTCGATACCTGAAAAAGCCTTTGTAGGCAATCCTTCTCTTATTACAATGTAAGTGGCTATATGCTTTTTTTTTAAGATTTATTTATTTATTCATACAGAACTGGGGTACAGGTCAGAGGTGCAGGGTCAGTGAGATGATTCACCAGAGACAGAGTGGGGAGCAGAACAGGCAG